AGAGAGAGAGAGAGAGAGAGAGAGAGAGAGAGAGAGAGAGAGAGAGAGAGAGAGAGAGAGAGAGAGAGAGAGGGCTTCAACCCACGGCGTAATCCCGACGAACGAGGACGTTCCTCACCTATTGTCGACGGATCAACGACGGCCGGCACGGATGTCATTAGGAGGGAGGGAGAGAGAGAGAGAGAGAGAGAGAGAGAGAGAGGTGCGATGGCGGCCAACGGAGAACCCTACACCGTGACGTCCGCAATCGACTGTCCTTCGCGCGTCGACACAAGGTGGTCTCCCGCCAAGGCGGTCGTCCAGTCACCCAGGATCGATAGGTGACCATAGACCAGCAAACGGCTGACCTGCCACGCCCCAACCCTCCCCGGTAGGATCCGGTAGTGTCTCCACAACATGGCCACTGTCCAGGATCGAACATGGGCCCGAACATGTCCAAATAGGGCCACAAAGAAAAACAAAAAAAAACGTTTTTTTTTCGTATCTGGGAATTCATGCCGAGCCTCTTGGGACTCCCGATAACTTCGGGAACTGGCAAAACATCGTAATTGCCCAACACTGGCGGAGGTACTCGTAGTGTTTAAAACCAACCAAGGCCCCATCTATTCTGGGGGGCAGCAGTCCCGTTGTTTATCACGGGCAAGCATTTGGAATAGAGTGGGGGGGGGGAGAGAGGGGACGAGGAACCGTTTCCCCTTCACAACGTGCTCTTCTAAACCAATGGGAAACGGGGGAGCTGTTGATATACGACAACACTTAACTAAGCTTTAGATGACAGCAGACACGACCGAACCAGGAAGACCATTAACATTCGTCAACGCACAAAGGCAAAGGAGAGAAGAGAGAGAGAGAGAAAGAGAGAGAGAGAGAGAGAGAGAGAGAGAGAGAGAGAGAGAGAGAGAGAGAGAGAGAGAGAGAGAGAAAAGAACGATCAAGTCAATGAAATCCCGAAAGCAACGTTTCAACGTAAAGTAATACATGAAAGAACAGTCTTAATGCAAGAATCTGGTTGGCGAAGCGACCCGACCGGTTTCGGCTGGCCGCCAATGCCAGCACTCATCAGGGGTCTGTCGGTGTAGAAAAAGACTGACTGGTCCTATTTAAAGAAAAACCAGAGTTGGAATTCCYACTACTAACAACTAGAAAGTTCAAGTAATGACTAGCCTAAGAACCTACTCGAAGCAAAAAACGAAAAAACGAAACTGGGAAAATAAAAAACCACAGGTCCCTAGTTCAAGGCCCAGGACAACACTACTACATACTTCCCCATAGAAAATACCGACACACCTTCGTTCGGGAACCCAATCCTTGTTACTCACTCACCCAGGTACTAGCATCAAAAATCCATACTTCCCTACATTGTCCCATAACTCGGAACTGCTTTCAAATTTCGTATCTGTATAATACTCGCCGAAACCATTCATACCAGATCAACCACTAATACGCATACTGCTTCAATATGTCAACACACCCCATCATCATAAGGTCAATAAGTCTAAAACTAGATTTTCCCCCCCAACCACTCGTACCCAGGCAGCTTCATCCCATCAAACACTACACCTGTCCTAGTTCGTCAGCACCGGTAGCCATTGGTCCCATAGCCCTCCAAATTTACGTGAAAAATTACTAAAGGCACAATAAAAAATGTCGTCTGGGTACTCCCGCTTCCACAGTTCTATTTTTAACGAAAAGAGAAAGGGAAACTCAGTCCCCGGTACAGTTGCAAAACGTTTACACCGGTGCAGGAATGAACTTACTACGGCAACCTTCTGGTGCTTGCTCGAAAACGAACAATAGTCCTGTATACTTTGAAAAACCAACTTTTGTTCCATCGACACCCTCTGATTCTTATGAACTGGCAGACTAACTACCTCATTGCTACCATTGAAGATTCTCAACACACACCCCAGATACTCCCAGCAGTCCCCGATGCTAGTATGTTCCAACGTTAGATTGCTATGATAACTCCCTTGAAATTCTTCCAGGATCTGCATAGCCTTCATCAACGAAATTATGTCTCCCTTCTGATACTTGACGAAAACCGAAACATCGTCAACAAGTCGAAATCCATGAAAAAAAGCCTTATCTTATCCCAAAGAGGAGAGGAAAAGAAACTCATTATATGCACATAGAAGACATGTGAGCGCTGGGCTGGACGACTTGCCCATGGGGATACCAACTCTCTGCTTCAGCACGCAACCAGAAGCTATCACGAACGTATCGTAGAGCTCGAATTCCACAAATGATAAAATGACCTCAAACTTCATCACAACCCACCCTTCCTCACCTCGTTTCTTGACCAGTTTTGCACCTCTACCTCTTCTTTTAACTGCAACCCCCATATACTCTTTCTCATTCCAAAAATCAATAACCCATGACACCGTCTGCAAGATAGAGGGGTGTGGGAGATTGGAAAACATTTCCTTAACATCAAAAGAAGCACCTAACAAACCCTCCCTCTTCCCAACATCTTTATTTACCGCAGACAAACTTATTACCAAATCATCCACGCATCTCAAGTTAAGGTTAGAGCAACGGGGTAGACTCCACAACATACAATTGACGGCCTTCGAAATCATCTTCCCTCCCACTGTCGATCCCTCCGGATAGGAGGGACAAATTGGTCTCCACCTTTCGATGTCTTTATGTTTAGGTAAGCAATACGCCCGACCAAACTCGCCATCACTCTTCCACTTACCCACCTTCTCCAACCCTTTGTCTTTGTAGGAAGCAGCCACGACATCCAAAGTACGCTGTTCACCCCCATCATATGGTAAAAAGGCAGGATTGTCCAAAAAGAGTTTCGCCATACCCCTCCGATATAACACTGGGCAACACACATAAGTGTCCCCCATGTTATGGCCCAGTGGGCAACAAACCATATTGACCAGCATCTCCCGGAACGGTAACACATCATCCTCACTATATGCGCGCCCAATCGCCGAAGTCCCGTCAACTCTACCAAAGCAAGAAGAGACAGCCTCGAGGGTGACGGAAGAACAATCCAGAGGTGGAAGAAAAGAATGAAGGTGAAAAGCATTAAGAATCTCTTGCTTTAGTGTCGCAGGAGGCCTACTGCGAGAAGGTCTGAGAATATTCTTGCTATTCTGCAGCCATGGCGGAAAAACTTCTAACTCAGAGATCCGAAAAGAAACGTGTCCATCAAGCGCAGGAAATCTCACCGAGATCGACTCGCAACAACACTCGACAAAATCATTCTAGGCAGCCTTTCGAAAATTGTGCAAACAATCCCCAATCATTCGATTCCTCCGCCATACAATTCCGAGTCGCATACGACGTACTAACACCTCCTTCCAGACCAAAGGTATCTTTAACTTGTGAACCAGTTGAGCACATAACCTCCTCACTTTGGACTTCTGAATACTGTCATCATACACCAGCTTCACAACCAGCCATTCTCGCACATGCACACCAAATTTCAAAAACATGTATCTCGACAAAATACCCCTGAGTCTTTCGGGCGATCGTTTTTCACTAAAGGTGCATGCTGCAGTAAACACGACAACCAAGGCTTCAAATGACCAAGTACGAAGAGACAAACGAGAGGGAGGATGGCTAAGTAGAGGAATAAGAGAAGGTTTGAGGGCTAAAGACTTGCCACGAAAAGGAACAACAGACTAGAAAATGAGGGTGATTCCGTCTTTGACCCAACCTCTCGCATGCCGAAACAACCCACGTCCAAACACGCATGAAACGATGGACCCACCATACATACGTTTCAAAAACTTCCATTTATCCGTAAGCACGTCACCTCCGCGACATACAACAACCACACGATGAATCAACTTGTCTCTGCAACTGTCTAAAATCGACCGAAGACTACTAGTTCCACCACCATAACTTGGAAAGAAACGGAGCAATGACTTACCACCCGAAAACCCAGCCGGGCTAGAATAGTGATTCTTCTTAGAACGTCGCCTTCTCTCTCGCAACCCAGATCGTGAACGTTTTGATCTTCTAACCTTATCCCTCACATTCAACGATGGGGAAAACAGCCTAATAAAGAATTTTTCACATGATCTCACCTCCTCCTCCGATGTAACACACAATGGTATGATAACATATTTATGCACGCCCACGCGACGAGGCCAACGGTACAACCTCTCGTTCCTTCCCCTCCCGTTCTCAGATCCTGAATTATGTGAACGGTACACGTGCTCTCCCCACCTCGTGTGCAAATCCCTATCAGTGCTCCCAATGTACAGGTGTCGACACCATGGTGAAAATAAAGCATAAACCACCGATCCCTTTGTCGTATCGAAATCAAATCCATTCGAAGCCGCACTTTGTAGTAACCCACGCAATTAAACCCCCCATGGGATCTACCCCGAGACAATCAACAATAATGTAATCATAATCAGCAGAGAATTAAGAGGTCTACATCTTAGCCAGTCACATGACAACGAACGAACTTGAACACAACATTGAAGAAGACTCCAAAACCACGACGCGCTCGGGGACAAAACTACGAAGTTACCGAGTCATCGTTGACCTCGGTACTGTCCTTGCCCCCTTCCTCTCCCTCCGTTACTTCATGAATAACAATACCACCCTTCTTGACAACACTATCTCGTATCACACCAAACGCCACATCAGCTCGTTTCAACGCCAACTCCTCCTTCGTTCTATCCAGAGTGGAATAGGACACCCCTTCTTTAGCACACAACACCATAACCTTGTCTTTCTTAAGCGGTTTCAAATACTTACGAGTCTCCGCCAAGAAAGCGTCTCGATCATTGGCTTCCACGGCTAGCGTTGCAGGACCCAGCTGCTTCTTTCCCTTCTCAGCAGTCGTAGCTGCCTTATCCAACCGCGTCTTCAAATTCGACGCCAAAGGAGTCGATCGTTCCACCACCAGCTTTGCCATCCTTTCTTTTAATCGTTCAACCTCCTGTTCCGCTTCTCGTCTCCCGTTGAGCTCACGTAGTCGCCACTCCTTCAATAGCTCAATCTCGTGCTCCTGATGTTCTACCTTCTCCTTAAGTTTGAGGTCCTCCACCGCTGGCGAATGTATCGACACCATCCGAGCCCGAGTTCTAGTTCCTGGCACCGGAGTTGCAGTAACAACAACGCTACCTCGTTTGTTACCTGGCCGTAGCGCTTCCGTTTTCCACACATCAGCAGCAGCATTCGCTTCCTCGCTGGCTGCCCTTAACCTGGCGATTTCTTCTTCCATGGTGGCAAGTCGACGATCCGATTTAGCCTTCTCTTCCTCTAATTCCCTCTTATACTTGTCGTAAACATTCTTAGAAGTTGACGCTCCCTGTCCATTACGTAGCGCCATACGCAAACCTTCAATCTCGATACGCAGCTTACTGACTTCATCCTCCTTATTGCCTTTCTTGTTTTCCAACAATTCCCGTACCGCGTCCAACTTGCTTCCCATCTCCTTCCTCATCTCGGCCTGAAAGTCCTCTTGCGCTTTCTTCTCTCGAAGCATTCGTTCCTCTTCTTCATTTTGCTTCTTAACCCGTTCCTCTTCTTCCTTCTTGCTTCGTTCCTTGGCGATTTCCTCGTCGTGGTGTGCTTTGATACCTACGACAGTTGCCTCCAGCAACTCCACCCGTGGTTTCAACCCTCCTCCATAACCATAGCCAAAGCCACCATAGCCGCCGGATCCCCCAGCCATAGGGACGTTGACCGCAGGAGTACTGGGGACAGTAACTAACGCAGTACTAGGGTTGGTAGGAACAGCAGACGAAGTAGCAGAGAAAGTAAAGCGACGATCAGGAAGAGGGCAGAACCGAGAAAGATGTCCAAATTGTCCGCAATTGTAACACTGGCGATTTGCCAACGGTTGACCAGCATTCTGCGCCATGACACTGTACCGAAAGTAAACGAAGCCACTCGTACGTAGTGCTATCTCTACGATGGTTACCCCGAGAAGGAAAGCTATTGATATACGACAACACTTCACCAAGCTTTAGCTGACAGCAGACACGACCGAACCAGGAAGACCATTAACATTCGTCAGCGCACAAAGGCAAAGGAGAGAAGAGAGAGAGAGAGAGAGAGAGAGAGAGAGAGAGAGAGAGAGAGAGAGAGAGAGAGAGAGAGAGA